GGGGGGGGGGGGGGGCTGGGATATCTCGCACGGAAGAAAGCAACGGCTGAGCGATCTGTCATCGAACCCGTCAGGCGGCACAACAAACAAGCGTGCGACCTCCGAGAAAACCCGCGGCCAGCTCTCAGAACCCCCCCGAACATCAGACGGAGACCGAACATTTTCATGTGATTGGAGATGGAAGTGTCATTTTCTGCGCTCTGCACAACAGCTTCTACTTCAGGATATAAAAACAGGGAACCTCCTTCTTTCCTTCCTTCCTTCCTTTATTGAAAGGAGGAAAAAAACAAAAACACAATCACAGGTCGCTGTTCGGGAGCGCGGGTTAATCCATCGACCGATCGATGCCGGTGCAGCAGGAGGCCGCATGTGAGGTGGAGCTTTAGTCCCAATGAGGGGGGGCTGCCTCTAACAAGTGGGTCTACTCAAAGATATCCTCGCCGCCAAAAAGGAATAATACAATTCCCCCATAAATTGTCCATAAACTAGACACTTGATACGCATTGTGTTGAGTTGTGTATTCGTTTGGGGGTTCCCCCCCCCCACCCACCATACGAGACCAGGAAGCGATTATACAGTGGTGAAGACCCGGGTATCGATCCCGTCCTGCTATCGGATAAAAGTAGCATCTCCAGCCTGTCCGGGTGGAGGGACGGAGAGAAGAAGTGTGGCAGCATTTGACTCTAGGAGATGCGGAGAACTCTTCCCGGATCAAATGCAATAAAAGCTTAAGAACAAAATACAAGACATCAGTTGGTAAAATGTCAAAAGGACGAGAGTGGGAGGCAGTGAATCCCTGCAGGCCTTTTATCTGGGCTCCGAGCCTACAACATCAGGCACACTGGGCTCTTTTCCAGGCGAGCGCACCGCTTGGCTGAACCCGGGCCAAGAGGAAAATAGGTCTCATTACTGAGCTCACGTCTGAAATGTGTAAGCAATTGTCTGAAAATATAAATAAATAATAATCACACCGCCGCAAGCCAAAGCAAGCCACCGCGGCTCTGAAGCGCGTCCCTCAGAGGGAGATCTGCCCAGTGCGCCTGGCTACCTCGGTACCTCGAGAGAACTCGTGATTGGGGAGTTGAGACCTCGTCTCGCTGGCTTGGTCCTTCAATTAGCCCAAAAATGAGGCCTAATCATCTCCTCTAAAGCGCTGATGCGTCATGGCGGCCGTGTGGCCGGTGACTGTGAAGCTCTCCGTGCGGACTTACTTGACCCTCTGGATCCAGACGCAGTAGTCGGTGATGTACAGGTCGTTCAGGATGTAGGCCGGGTCGTTCTCCCGGAACACTCTGTGGATATCCAGCAGGCACCTGAGGACGCCGGCCTTCCCTGGGCGGAGGAACGCGCCCCGCCGGGCAAATGGAACAGACAAACAAAGCAATAAAACAGGGTTATTTGCGCTGCAGCACGAAGGAAGTCAATGCACTCCAGCTGCTGGCAGGCGCCGCCGCACCCGAAAGGCTCAGTCATTGTTCCATCCAGCAGAGCCGAGGTGGGGAACCGGCGGGAAAAGCCCCGGCGGGCGGCGCAGCAACGTGGTGCGTGCGGTTTAAGGAGAGTTCCTGAACCAAGAAGTGAGACAAAAAGAGCCAAAGAAGACAAACTCTCTATTTTTGGCATTTGGTTTGTGAATTTGATTGGCAGCTCCGCTCAGACTCTCAAAAACAAAGTGACTGAGTGCTTTAAGATATTTCACTCGACTGCCTTTCACGTGTTCCCCATGCAGCACCACTGCAGCGCAATCAGAATCACTGACAAACCACAGAGCCACATTCATATCACCATCTGGTTTCAATAAACCTGTGTTTTTTGTTAAAGAGAATACGAGCACAGCTCTAAACATGCTGTCTGGTCTTGGTTGAAGAGTATCACCATGTCAAAGCCTTTAAAGGTGTGATCGTATCCCGACGACTTTCCGACTTGGACACGGCTACCAAAGGAAAATACTTGTGCTTAAACAAAAATAAACGCTTGGAGAGATTACTCCGTTCCCCCGTCGTGCGTGCAAACGTCCCGTACTGAAGGAAGACGCATTTGTGGCTTTTAAGCAACTGGAGGATTGGGATTTAGAGGCAGCACAAACCAAGATAAAGATCTAAAACCTCGGCAAGTACAACAGCAGATATCTGCATAGTAGAAACCCGTACATGCTACTGAGGAGATTGAGCCCTTTGGGGAGGTTGGTGAACAGATTGCCATAACAACTGAGATAAAAAGCTTATTGTGTGGTCTCCACCCACCAAGAAGCACACAAGACGGCCCCTTCAAACAAAACCCAATCAATTCCAAAGCACGCAAATCAAGTTTTGTTCTGGTGTTGAGCGCACACACTCCCTTCAGAAGAAGTAACCCAAGCTACAAGGCTGAGACACGATGACACCTGCACTGCACCAACACCAGGGCATTAAACGGAATATCCATCCGACCCCCCCGGCAGCACGCGACCAGCCGAGCGAGCCGCAGCCCTTCCCCCTCCGAGCGGGCGTATAAAAAGCCTCACCGTGTGGCCGGCGGTCCAGTGCCGCTCTGCAGGGCCGGCTGGCGTCGACATGCCAGACGTGTCACAATAAAACGTGCGCCCCCCCCCCACGAGGAAACCCTTCAGCACACATTTGGTTCCCATTTAAGAACGGGATGGCACGCAGGGAACTCAAAGTGTGGACTTCTTCTTCCTTTTCAGCTGCCGAGAGGAAGAACAGATTTGGCCCCTGATGTTGCGACGCGGCGTGTCAGCTTCTGTCCCCGTGTCGCTCAATGGGTGGATGGATGGAGGACACAGAGGACCACGTCCACGTCTTGGCCCATTGTGACCCGGTCCCCCCCCCTTTTACTCACAGCTCCTTCCCCAGCTTGGAGCGCCTTTAAGGAGCTCCACCTGCTTCCTGAGGGCTGTTCAAATATTTACCCCCCCCTCCCCAGGCAACGTTCCCCCGGAGGGCCTCAACCTGCGCGCCGCCGGTTTAATGGGTTTGTTTTGCTAATACCGAACAGTGTTTGCTTTCACGGCCACTTAGATGAAGTGCCTGGAAAACTGCAGCGTGCATTTCCATTCGCTTTATCCTGACAAATTAATTATCGCGTGAAGCAACGCTGCGGGGGGGAGCGCACCGCGAGACACACGCCGGGCCGAATTACTGTCGCGCTAGAGTTCATTAAAAGAGCCGCGCTGCTCAGACTTCCCCGATGCTCACAAATAATGAAGGTTACGAGTCGTGAGCGAAAAACAATAGCAAAATGATGTGTTCCCTCCCGCCCTCTTAATAAATAGACTCAAACCAACAAAGCAGAGGTGGGAGAGAGAAGGTGAGGGGGAAGAGGCTCTCCAGCTGCTCCTTTCCCCGGCTCTCTTGATCAACTCATCTACCCACTTAATGAGGCGCGCAAATGCTAATCTGGAGCTTAAAAGGCCTTTAATTTGCTGTCATTTACCAGCGCTGGAATCATCGCGAGCAGGATAATCGGAGCCCTCATACACGCCGAGTGCGTTTACAGCGCGGCGATTCATCTGTCCGTGGGGGGCTTTTGATTTGAAGATTACTCTGGGATTTGAGATGTCTAAGTCAACACTTGGCTCCCCGCTAATCCACTCCTCGCTCCCCGAGGCGGCCCGAGCGGGGGCCACTCCTGTTACCGTAGAAACCACGCGTTGGCTCGTGAGCCACTTGCTCCGTGTTCGGCCCGTGAGCTGCACGGCCGAGTATAAATGTAGTGTCGGCAGGCCCTATTTGAGCCCCCCCACAAAGGAAATATAGTTAATATTAAATAACAGGAAATGTCAATATTTGTGTTTTTGAAACATGGAATGTTTCCAGTACTATTTGTACTTTTTCTGCACGGCTCCACTGAGCAGGAGGATGCTGCCTCGTCGCCGATTGGCCGTCTCAAAAACAAGAAATGAGACCTTCTGCGATTCTTTATCATTTCTGCAACTTGCAATAGTTAATTCATTCAGTTACTGTTTCAGCTCATGTGCTACCTGAGGAGAGAAAAGGCGTTTCCTCGAGCCATCGAGTGCATTTTAAGAAACTGTTATTATTTTTGATTGTTGCGTTGAGCCCTTTTAATGCAATGCTGAAAAATGCAAAAACATAAATGGAAAAGTCGTGCATATGCGCTGCTGCTGCTGCTGCTTCCTGTCGACTCACCTGTCTGCAGAATCTTAGTTGCGTCCCGGACAGCCGCGGACGCCAGTGCGAAGTGTCTGTAGAGCGGGTAGCACAGGACCCTCCGTGCAAACGACAGCAGGACGTCGTGCAGCGAGCTGTAAGTCTGCAGAGGACACGCAGCACCGGAACACACCGCCGCGTTATTCAGTAAGACAAGGAGTCCGAGATGCAGCCAGACAACATTTCCTCCTCTTTTTCCCCTCATTGGCTGCGGTTGAGGTCGAGCTAATTACTCCCAACAACTCCTGGCGAAATTGGGGCTCACAGATCTTAGGACACCTCTGCAGCCCCGGCTTGTTAATTGCTGCTTCCCTCTAATCACTGCCTTTGCTCTCTTTCTCTGCGGCAGGCAGAGATTGTTATTTGGTGTCTCCTCCCTCGCTCGCTCGTCTTCATGCGCTGTGGGCTCGTGTCATCCGGGATCACGCTCTCCCTCGGGCTTGTTTGCGAGTGTAAATATGGTCGGCTGCTGCAGGGAGCCGCTCAGTCGCACCAGCGCAGCCGACTGAGGAGCAGGAAACATGCAGGGGGGGGTTGTAGCAGGGAGGCGAATGTAAGGCACGAGGGAAGAGAGATAGACAGTGAGAGAATAAGGAGAGACAGACAGCAGAGCGGGAGTGAGGAAGCAGACAGACGGAGAGGAGTCTATTGTGGAGCAGTAGGTGGAGGGGTGGGGCTGACAGCAAAGGGCTGCCAGGTGGAGCCTGTTCTCAATTCCACCGTCACGCCGACGGGGGAAAACCGCAATCCCTCAAACGGCGGTCGAGGTCCCGTTAGCAGATCTCCTCCAGGCAGCCTGCGCCACAAATGCAACGACTTAATCACACCTGGCGAGGACGCTCTGGGACACATACGGCAGCGTGTGCTCCGATGTGCAACAATGCCGAAGGACCGGCTGTTGTAATCGGTGATGGTCGGCTGTGGTTTGTTGTGCCTGCTGGGGCCGAGGCTGATGGGTATTGTAGTGAGAAACAGCATCAAAATGAGTCAACCTGTTGAGGCCGCGCACATCAATGGTGAGCGCAATCTACGCTTATCCTCTTTCATCCACGACAAAACTCTTTACGAGAGATGCACTCAGAAGCTTCCTGAGCATCACTGTAAAATGCACAGTTCCCCCGACAATCTCAAGCTGTAATTTATGCTTTTAAGAGTTCAGGAATCAATGTTTAGATTTACCCTGATGCTGCTTTACAGGTAAAAAGCACAACCAGGAATCTTAACTGATCTGACACGGAAGAATAAACATGTGTGTTGATATGAAAACAAAAACAAGCCACTGCTGTGATGTTGCTGCTCTTCCTCTTCTCCTTTTACAAATTATGATTATTGCACTGTCTCTTCTTGAAGGTTACTCTTTTTTTATTTTATTCAATAATTTAATATTTATATTATTATATTGTATACAATGTGTACATTTTAATTCTATTTTTCTTCCCTGTACATGCTGCTGTGATACCAAAATTTCCCTCTTAGGGATCAATAAAGTGTCAATCATCATCATCAAAATAAGGCACAATAAAGGTGGAACTGTTTGGTTTTTCCACCTCATTTGCCAACATAAACCTGAGAATTGATGCCGGGCAAACCAATCAACTCAATCCGCAAAGCACCTTCTGTCCAGCGCTTCCATGAAAAACAGCCCAGTTTCTGCCATAAACGGTCTATATTTGCCCCCCTTGTCTGTGTGGTGAGTAGATGAAACCAGGGATGAGAATGAAATGCGACCTGATTTGGTCCTTTCTCACCTCCAGCCAGCAGAGAGTCCCACTGAGTTTTCTGATGGTCCACGGGGACTCGACCTGTGGGGCAGGGGCGTGAGGGGGGGGGCACAGAGACACAGCACATTATGTTTGGACAAAAGCACTTTCACAGGCAGCTATTTCAACGGCACTGGGGGGCTTGTTGTAGACTCTCAGAGCTCTCCGTGTGGAAATGAATTGTATTAACGGCAAACACTGCGGGCACTTGGCGGACACGCGACCTCTGAACCGTCGGCGGCAGGGAAACGAGACGCGCTCACCTTGCTTTGCCGCAGATACCGTAAGGGGAGCGACACAAAGAGGCCCGGACTGAGCCGCCGGTAATCTCTTAAGGCTCTGAATGAAATGGAAGGGAGTCTAAAGGATTTGCGGATCGAGGGCTTTGTCATCCAAGCCTAAGTGGTGCTCCAGAGACACACGCACACTCACGTTGTGCTCGCCCTCCGTGGAGCGCGCTTCGTAGCAGTAGGCCAGCAGGATGTCCACAAGGCTGAGCCACGCTTGGTGACGGGACGCCTTGTCCAGCAGGTACGAGCGGTTGGTGAACTTCCTCAGCTGCTCCTTCTCGTCATCGGTGAAAGAAACCGCTGGAGGGGGGAAGAGCTCAAGTTACAGAGGAAAGTGCCTCAGGTTGTCTCCATTGTCCCCTTCTGTCCACGGGGACCCACTGTTTTCACACGCAGCTCTGAAAACACGGAGCGGCCATGTGAACACAGTCATGACGTAACATGGCCGCGGTTCAACGCTCCGGCCGCTTAATCACATCTTCAGGACGGAGGCTCATCGGGTCAGAGTGGCTTTCAACAGGTAACATTAGTACTGATCTCCACCGCCGAGCGCACAGCAGCGAGGACCAGAGAACGCTGCCGTGCCTCCACACACACACCCACCCACACACACACACACACACACACACGGATGCAAACTACAGTACTTGCGCTCAAGGCTCACACTGTTTTACATATTCACTTAGAAGTGCTATACTGAAACCGCCGGGGACAGCGTGCCGAGACGAAGCGTGACGCGGTTGATGAGGCGCAGAAGAAAAAAAAAAAAACAAGGCCATTAATTACATTAATCTAAGAACACCAGAAAACACCAGAAAAGCCAAATCCAAGCATGCGCAGATTTACGGCTGAAAAGCCCAGAAATATATAAAGTTCAGTCACAGGAGAATCTCTGAAACCAGTGCTTCTCAATCGCACTAACTGTTGCCTTTTGAAAAAGACATCTGCCTAATAGGGGCTTGTGTGTGTGTGTGTGTGTGTGTGTAATGGGGCGACACAAAACAGACTTCAATCCCATTGAAGATCTTAAATTGTGAGGCGCGGCGAATGCTTGCAGGAACGTGCTGTAACTCAACTGCCCCCCCCCCTCCCCACAGCTTAGAAAACAGCTGAAAGCAATCGCTGCGTCTGCATGAGGGGAGGAGGGTCCCGGGCGGAGATGCAGCACATTGGCTGGAGCACATGGCCGCCCGCACGCACACCTCTCCGGTTGCAGTGGGAACTTGGCTCTGCTGGGAAGGAGATTCCTGCTGCATTACGTCAGGTTGAAGCTGCCTGCAGGCGCTACCTGGTCCCACGTGAGCGCAGCTGCAGCAAGGAGGGGGGGGGGTGTCACGAGCAGAACACATGCAGACTGCACGAGCCACCGTCTGCACACCCGGTTACACTCACGCGCATTGAGAGGAGATTCGATGCGCTGCTCTGCAGAGGCACAAAGCCACGATGAGCTGCAAAAAACTGAGCATTTCAGCAGAAGCGCCGTCTGTTCAGAGTAAAACAATAAGCGATCATTTAAAACCCGACGTTCACAATAACCACATTTAAATAAAAGCAGCATTTGCGAGTTGGGACGATCCGTTGTTCCACAAATCCCACGTGCAGACCGCCGACTGGAGGCCGGCCTCACCCGCCGGCTAGTCTCCGCCGAGAAGCCCGCTGGGTCCATTGGGGGGCATTTGCGCACGCCGCCTTCTGCTGACTGCAGAATTAATTGCTAATCGGTCCAGTTGGAGCGGCGGCCCGGCTCTTCGCCGCTCTCCGCGGGTCCAGATGGCCCGGAGACCCGTGGAGGGGTCCGGACGCGCTTTTTTGGGAGGATTTTCTCTCCAATGCGAGCGAGCGACGCGTGGCCTCGGGCGGCTGGAACGGTGAGCGGCGCCCCGCTGTGACCCGGTGGAGCTTCAAATGGAACAAAGGGGCCGTGTGACGGCACAGTCGGCGCCGACTGAAAACCGATTTCTAATGCCAGCCGTAACAAAGAGCAGCAGGTAGAGAACCGGATCAGTGTGGGAACACAGACCCCCAGTGGACAGCTGGGGCCTGTCACTGCCCCCCCATCACGACACTGGAAACCACAGAGCGGCTGGTTTCTGCTTCATTAGCCCTCACCACATCCATCTGGAGGAGGTTTCTTTTTTTAAAGAAAGAAAAAGAGTCAAAGATCCACGTGCAGGAGTCGCGGTCGCCATTTTTAAATCACGAGCGCGCTCTCCTGATTGGACGGCAGGCCGCTTAAGACATCCCGACTGATTCATTCTTCACACGCAGCCGGGAATAATGCGATTCGACCTGTCAATCAAGCCATTAAGTTTAATTTGGCCCATTTATCCAGGCCCCGGCTCCCGCCTGAGCCACTCAGACTCAGAATGCCCAACGAGCCGGCGGGGGCTGCACGGCGCCGTAGCCTTCGACGGGGGCTAATCTCAGGCTGCGGCTAATGGCCTCCGCGCTTGCTGACTGATGGATGCTCATCGGCGACGGGGCCGGGGGGGACACACTCCCTCTTGCGATAATGCTTTCTGTTTAATCCAAATCCTCCCACAGGAGCCACCGCCCCCCCCCGGCACTGTGTGGAGGCCTGCTTACAAGCGGTGGAGGTGCTGGAATCAGCAGTCGGAGGAGCACTATTGAAAAGAAAAAGGCTTTCGCAGCCGGGAAGGAGCCGTTGATCTAGAGATGGGAAATAAATGAACTGGAATCTGTAATAAATAATAAAAACGGCCATTGAAATGCGAGAAGTTCAAAAGATTGGCATTTTCTTTAGGTTGCCACTTCTAAACTGGTCAAAATGCAGCAGGGAGACTTAGTGATTAGGGGGGGGGGGGGTCCAATTCAACCTTTCATAATGGAAAGTGTCTTTCCTGATCCAGAGCCCCGAGGCTCTTTGGGGAGTGCAGCTCTGTTGCTTTCCAGCCGACCTCCCACTAGGAGAGGGAGGGGGGAGGGCGGGAAAGACTGGGGATTTCATTTATTTTATATATATATAGTGTGTGCCCCCTACCACTGAACAAATATATAGAAACACACACACACACACACACAGAACCATGTCAGCAGCTAGCCACGAGAGGAACTTTGGAAAAGGGCCAGCGGGATGTTAAAAATGGTATGATTTGGTAATTTGGTTATATCAAAAAAACCTGATTGCCCTTAGTTTGTGTAGCTTTGTGCCACCTTCTGGTTGGTTTGGGTCACTACTGGGCTTCTCCGTTTTAATTGCTTAAAAGGTTCAAATGATTCCCATATTATATCTCTAATGTCTCACCTCACTGGGAAAAGAAATACAAATTCATGTCACTGTTTATCCAGAGCAGGCACTAGGACCCCCAATCGCCAAGCGACATATGCATTCATTCAAAGAAGGTATCATGAAGATAGGACCTGAACTCACCCGCTTGCCCGCCCTGCTCTGTGGGACTCAGCTTATCCCACCACGGCCTGAACTTCAGCAGCTCCTTTATCTCAGCATCCTCAAACAAATCGGCCCTGAAATGACACAAGGAGGTTAGCAGACAGCACGGGGGGAGGGGGGAGGTGAGTTGGTCCAATAAACTCACAGGTAATGGTCGGGGGAGAAGGCGGACACCTCTGCGTCGAGCCGCCCTCGCCTCCTCTCGTCGGCCGTCGCTCCCTCTGGGTTCTTCAGGTCGATCACGTCGCTCAGCTCCTCCTGTCAGGACACTTAACATGAACCCTGCGGCTTCGTGTGCGAGTGGCAGCAGAGGGGGGGGCGGCGTGGAGGAAGAGCTTCCTATCCTTCAGCCAGGGTTCACTCAGCATCCGGGGACTCACCTGTAATCTGGCAAACACTCCACACCTCTGGTTGCCAAAGCCGTACTTCTGCAGAGCGCCCAGCTCCTCCTCGGAGCGCTCCCTGTGCACCTCCTGCTCCATCTGCCAGTCAAAGTCGTCGTCGTCGTCCTCGTTACCTCCGGCGCCCTCGCCGCCTCCTGTGGAGGCGCAAAGCAGCCGCGGTCAGTTCTCGGTCAGTTTGGCGGTGAATCCGGTGGGACGGATGCGTGGACGTGACTCACCTGCGCTCAGGTCCTCGATCAGTGGTTTTGCTGAGCGGGCGCCTTTGGGGGCGAGGAGACTCGTCAGCATCTGGAGCCCTTCAAAGTGCTCTCCAGCTGTTTCCTTTGGGACCCGGAGAGTGACGAGACCTGCGGGGAGATAAAGGGAGTGATTATCACCCAAAACACAAGGACTGTTCATCAACCAGTTATGTTGATTTATCATTCATTGTACAAAACCATCATTAAAATAAAAAAAAACATCACATGATGAATTGATTACGAAAATAAGTATTACGTTCAGCGACAAACATTTAAATTACACTACATGAAAAAAGTGACTAAATGTTTAAAAAGGGGTAACAAGTGACATGACGGCACAAAGGAAAAAAATAAAACATGACACTACAAAGTCAATCATAGAGCTGATAGATCTGACTTTCTATTTTAAATTCAAATTACCTCTTTATAATAACACCATTTAAATTAAATGGACCACCTGCGCATGTGATGCTTCACTTGCTCCTTTAAAAACTATCAGTAAACATCACCAGGCGATAATTATAGATGGATTGGAGCGATTTAGCCAGGTAGAGGAAAAGGTGGTGAAGTTCAATCCCCTTCAGGTGGTGAAGCTCAGACGTCTTAGCGATGGGAGACGACTAATTGCTCGCGTTGCCGCACAAGTCTTGAAGGATCTTTGCTCGTTAGAAGTCGAAACAAGGACACTCATTAGTGGGGCTTCATCAGCTGATGTTACAGGCTTATTGAGACTAGCCGGGGACACGCCGACAGACGACTCTCGTCACTAATAGAGCGCGGCAGCCTCGTCCACTCCACGGGGGGTCAACCCCCATCTGCCACTAGTTAAGAACGTGTCCGGTCAACAGCATGACGCCAACCTCCGTTCCACAGGGGCCTCCTTCAGCATACAGATGACTGGATAGACAGTCGGATACAATTTGACAAGAGAAAGAAAAAAAAAGCCACAAGGAAGCTGTACTTTCCCGCGTTGAAAGAAAAGGTCACAACATTCCGATAAACACTGTGAAATAAATAAATAAAAGAGAAAAGCCTTTCACTTGTTTCCTGAGTCACTGGGTTGACAGAAACAGAGGAGACATCCGATAGACCTCATCCGCGTTTGCTCCTCGGGCTCGGTGCTCATATCCGACATCGCAGCGAGGGACGGACAGTCCGCCCCCACCACAACAGAAACCCGAGAACATCATTGAATTGAAAAGAGAAGAAAGGTGCGCTGGGCGTGTGAGATGCGTTTGGGGGAACCGGCAGGACGGTTGCTTGAGGAGAGGGTGGGGGGGCATTTAACGCAACAGCTGTGTGCACATCGATTGAAATACATCAGCAGACATTTGGTTATGAAGCATCACCACGCAACTGACGTGACGGGCCGCTTACCACCACTCTGTGTGTGTTGTCCTTTAAACAGTGTGACTTACCAGCATCAATGTCAAACTTGGCCGTTTCCCTCCCATCTTCCACTATTCTGCCAGGAAGAGACAATCTGCAAATAAGACGTGGATCCAGACTGTTACTAAGGACAAAAAGCCCCGTTCTGTTAACTTTCTAACAATGGAGCTGAGAGAGATCGTGCCACTTGATGAGCCCATTAATGAAGCGCTTTCATCTCCATCACTGAAGCTCATAATGTTCAACTCACCTGAGGAAGTAGGGCTTGGCGAAGAACTTGAAATCTGTTCCATCGATGTAAAGGTCGAACTCTGACGTTCTGGTGTAGGGAACACGGAGGCTGAGGATCAGGAAGTCGGGATCCTGGCTCAGGTCGAAGGCAGGAGTGATCATTGTGGATGCTGAAGATGGTGGAGACCTGTAGCATCGATGACCAGTTATTGAGTGACGGCCCGCGTGCTCTCTTCCGCCCCCCTGCGGTCGCTTCCGGTGCACGTTTCAGCCCACGTGGAACTGTAAACACAGTTAACGTGAAACCTCACGATCGTCTCTGACCACAGAGAGTCACATGAGGGGTCTTCACGGGCGTGACAGGGGCACGTAGCGACTTACTTCCCTCCACCCTTGTTACGGCACATTTCATTACCAAGCTGCATTCGGAAAACTACATATTTTAAATGATTTTACTCGTTGACAGACGTGTTTCATTCGACACGTTTCTTTATCCACCTCTCCAGTAACACGGGCCGGTCATTGCGTTCGGCGCGTCGCTCTTCCAAACACAAGACTATTTAAAGGAGATTTTCCGACGTTAAATGTTATCCACTTAAATGGTGCAACCCGGCGTTATTTCTAGGTAACGTTAGATGACAAAGTTCATTCGTTACGAATTAAACATTCAGCTCAAACAGTTGATAACCACGAAGCCGTGACACGTGGCGTGAACGCGTTTAGTCGGCGAGCTTTACCGTGAAGTCACACGGACTTGTTGGCGGTTCGCATGAAGTTAGTTGGGCCGTTAGCTCGCTGCTGTTAGCCGCCTGCTAGCTCAGCTAACGCGTCGCCGGCGTCCTCGCGAGGCTAACGGAGCAGTGCTAAGCTAGCTGACGCGTCACGCCACAGCTGTTCCGATGCACGCGGGGCGGGTCGGGCCGCTCGAACGGCCTCGCTGACGGTCGCTAACACACAGGACGCACGACGAAGAAAGAAGAGTCGCCAGCGGAGCTCGAGCCCAACGCGCGCCCCGGCAGCGCGTGCACGCAGCGCCCATCTGTTACCGTAAAGCTGTATGTAGACGTTATTATACATATAAAGTAAACAGATATGTTATAGTAATATATTTACCGTTATGGATCCGTCGGTCCGTGCTTTTTTTAAATGCATGATTTAAAATAAATCATATTAAATAATAACACGGCGTTCTTTGTTAAAGGTCCATTATTAGGAGTGTAATGATGGTGGAATGCACTTTTCATTTTTACTCAAATACTGCAACTTCTTGAACCAGAAGCTCTTACAACTTAAAGGTTTGCTGCACTGGGCTATTTCCATTTGATGCTATACTTTATTAGTCAACATTGCAACATTGCACAAGCAAACATTTAGTTTTTATTTTACTGTATAACTTTGAACGCTTAAATTACTAGTCACTCTGTACCTGCTGTGGTCATATTCATTATAAAGCATGTACCCAACAGTAGAAGTAGTTACTACAGCTCCAATAGCCACAACCAATCAATGCTGCTTACTGAGAGATTCCACAGGGGCCGTTCTGCACACTGAGCACTGAAAATTGAAGTGTATTATGCTGATGTGGTGGAACTTTAAAGGCCTTAATATTCATACTGTGGAATGGATTCGGTAATGGAATTGGTACAGTGAATACAAGCTTGGGAGCCTAAGTAGTCACAGGCCCTAAATTAAAGCTTCTGGAGGTGTGAAGTGACTGCTGAGATGTAATATAATTGAAAAGTGCCAAAACATCCCCTTTGAAACGACAAAAAAGAGCTAACGATGTGAGTGCTAGCTCCTATATTTTGCGGTTCTGAAGTTTTTGCTTTAAAAATGTCCGTTTGCGTACAAAACGTACGTTGGCAGTAGTTTTATTAAACAGATACTACATTGGAATGCGAACAACCATTTCAACCCGTAGAATTGACCGTGTAAGAGTACCACCGTGATTACGGTAACGCTGCAGAGGCCCCGCCTCCTCCGTGCGCTCCTCCGCGGACGAGCAGGAGCTGCTCTCCATCAGCGTCTGCAGAGAAATGCGAGCGGGGAGCGGCGACAAGATGCCCGGTCGCGCAGCGCTCCGTCGCCCGCAGACATGAGCGGGGTCCCGTGCGCCTCTCCCGCCCGCCACGCGTCGCTCTCACCATGCGGATCCACCGCAAAGTAGTTGTGATCGCCGTGTGCTTCGGAGTTTTCCTACTTTTGTACTTTTTGGGGGGCAACGCCGCGGACGATCCGCCGTCGAAAGAAGTTGCGGAGGAGGAGGAGGGGAAGGACGGCACCGCGTCCCGGTCGCCCCCTGAACGCGCGCACGATGTTGCAGCGAAGTTTGCGAAGAAGTCGCACCCCGGAGGAGCCGGCGGGGGGGCGCCGGAGCCCCCCGGTGTGCGCAAAGAGCGGCGCGCAATCAACGCGGGCGCAAAGAGGTGAGGGTCGTCACTGTCTCACTGTCGTTCCTTCCGCGGGTCGGTCGGTTCCCCTCCGTGGACGGGACCGCGGACTCGCTCAATCGGGTCTCTTCGATGTCTCGTCCTGTCCCCGCGAAGTTGAAGACAGCGAGCGCGTCAGCGCGCCTCCATCAAGCGGCGCACGTTGTGCTCAAGGACGCGGTCTTCACAATGGCCTGGTCCCAGTGTGCGCTGCGAGGCGGCCTCACACTTGCATTGTGGCTTTTTGTTGTTTACTTTTAATTTCCACTGGAACGTGAGTCACGCTGTCGTAATCGGAGGGTGAAACGAGAGTAGAGCGCGGAACCAATGCGGCTCGGTGGAAATGTTGGAGAGAACCACAACGGAATGAAGATCTTTTCACCCTTGTATTTGTTTTTAGGCCCTTTTAATGTGGTCCTCTGCTGGGCTAAAGTGGGGAAAGGTCACCTTGAAGGAAACAAATTGCACTTAATTAAGAACACACACTCGCACAGCATGACACTGGTGTCCTCCCGTTCACATAATTGCACTGGTGAGATGTTACTGGGAAATAACAGGAACTTGGTGTGTTCTCGGCTTCTCTCGCCAAAGTCTGCCAAACACACAACCCAATGTGGGAGGAAGTAGAGCTGAGAGAGAAGATGCACTCTGCTAGAGGATCTGATTTAGTCTCTTTGCGGCCTTTTAAATGTAGACAAAAGATTGTCGGTTTGCTATTTCCGTTCAAGGATGACAGCATTTGTTTTTTTTCTTTATTGTGTCTTCCAGCTTTCTAATTCCAGCCTGCACATCCCTCGCGTTTCCTCCCCCTGGGCTCAATGCCAGCAACGCCCTAATAGCCACAACGTGGTGGTGGAGATACCCGCTCAGCCACTAATATATTTTCTACTGCAAACCCAGACTGGAGGTTTTGGGAGCGACGTTGGCTTGATAAAAGCCACGGAGGCCTTGCGTTGAGAAAGGTCCTTTACGTGTGTGCTCAGCACTGATAAGGGAGATGGGGTGCAAGGGGTCACCGAAGGAAAAAAAAGAAAAACTACCAGGTTTAGAAAACCGCTCCGGACTGACTGCTGCGATAAGGGGGAACACACGGAGCTTGTGGCCCAAAACTTTCCCCCCATTTTATTGCACGAGATAATCGTTTTCTGTCAACAAGCAAACAAGCCGTGGCAGGAAATAGTCATTACTGGTGCTCTGTTAAAGTGGCTCTTACGGGGTAAGTGGATTGTAAGATCATCCGATGTGACCTCTATAATTCCCACTGACTTTGGTTTGCACAGGTTGGAATCCTTGCGTCCAACGCGCTCTGTTTCCCGCTGAATCTGAGCGCTGGGACAGATTTCCTGCTCGGCGTGCTTTGTAGACAAACATCCCGGTTCTTCCCTAATCATATCATTTCCTCTTCACACATCACACTACTTCCTGTGGCCCGAAATAGAGATGTGTCCCCGGCAGATGGACCCCGTACACAAGCCGCAGGCTGCTGGAGGTGGAGTTTGTCGATTGATCCCAAAATGTCAACCATTGATGACGAAAACGCGCGGTTTGCAGCCCAAAGGACGTCCGCACCTGTGACGCATGATCGTCACAACACGATGACGATGATTTGCCTGCAGGATGCACGTTCCTTCACTCTGACCCATTTGTCTTCAGTGTGAGATGCGACGCCTCCGTCTGCTTTTGTTACGTTGAATTAAGCGGCTGCATCTACAGGATTAGATGGGCGCAGATACTTAGCGTTGAAACAAATCCCCTGCCCTGTCGCTCCGGATGGAGTTCGGCGCTGCTCCCTCGCTGTGAAGAAGTCACTCGCTCGCCGGCGCATTATGCACCGCTATAAAAATGTCATTCTGCATGACGGAGCAGCCTCTCTTCTGGGAGTGTTTTTGGAGATCTCGCTTGCCCGTGCAGCGCCGACGCGGCTGGAGAAGGTGCTCATCAGGGGCAGTTAGACGGGCCGACTCACCTTTAATTTACCGGTGAAGGAGTCATACAGGGAGACGCTGGAACGACAGGACATGAGGACGGGCCTCATGCAGCCAAAGCCATTTCCCATCGAGCAAATATCCTTTTCTTAACAGCTGAATGAGCAGCTTCCATTGACCACGACGCAGACGCTCCCTATACCAGCTAATGCTCATCTATTGTGGCTAACCCAACTGTCCCACTGATGTCTCTAGTGAAACTCGCTTCTCAAAATACATGCTGTGGTTGGGCAACAAAGCAGATGCAATGTGGTATCAGTATCTGGAAAGAGGCAAACATTTGAGGTCTATTAAGGTCTTAAAGCTGTTTTCCTTTAAATAGGATGGATGTCAATGAGAAAAGGACTTTTCTCTTTGTTTAATATCCAAGTAAACATTGCAAACATGAGTTCTGTTCCGGTCAAAATGTGAACTAAGCGGTTTTCCGCAAACCAACGGGTGGTGTTGGCGTGACATCGCCCACTTCCTAACAATGGTCATTGATTCGCCCGATGTTCAACACGTGATTGCATGGAGCGTATTCAAGTTTATTGAGCACATCTTGGCCAAGTTGAATTTGACAGATGCTGATGGATGATGCGCTTCAGGCCGTTCAGCTGGACGGCCTGAATTTCCTTTTCACTGAAAAATGTCAAGTCTGAAGAATCACCTGTAGGTTTGATTGACATGTGGCATTAGATTTAAAAAATCAGAAATGTGGTTGGTTCTTTTAGAGCAGGAGTGCCCACTTCTTCAGGTTGCGACCTACTTTTCAGTCGGCCGAGTCGTGGCAATGCACCACCCGCCCCCCTCTTGTCTTTCTTCCTGCTACGCCCGATTTAAAAGGGTTTGCTGTGGGCCTTTGGAGGCAGGCATGTGGCCTCATGTTCTCACTCTGCAGCCAGTGAATTCAATTCTTTTGTACCATTTCTTTTTTTTTTTCCTTCTTTACTGCCTCCAGATGTGGGGGAGCAGTGCAGAGACGCAAAGCATTATGTGTGTAGCCCAATGCTTATTGCAACACAAGGAATCAGCGTTTTCCTTTGTCTGTCCGATTTTCTACAGAAATCAATCCAAGGGAATTTATGTCGCATGAATAAGTGCGAGGTAATTAAACGTCGCCGCGCACGAGATACGGACGGCATTTTCTTCTGGAGAATCGGGACGTGTGTTCGACAACCTTGACGCGCGGCTTCTCGTTCATGCTGATCTGCGGTCGATCATTGTCCCCCAGCCACGCAGAAAACAAAGCGTCACGCTCGGGGGGGGGGCCGCCGCGCAAGCCCACCTGTCAGATTTCACCCATCGCACCTCCCAACGCTTTTTAATCACCGCTTCCTCCAGGCGCCAAAGAGATGCGTGATGCGGGTTTGGAATATAGCATCCCCTGTTCATCATGCGCCAAATGAAAGGTTCGGTTGTGTATTTCTGGTTTTTACATGTCAGTCTCCTCTCCCCCTTTGGCTATGACGGCGCGTGTGTTGAACATGCTGTTATCACGCCCATGTATAGCGTGTACGCGGAGCACGAGTAGACCATGTTGGCCTCCCGCCTCCCCCCATTGTGAGAATGTTTCTATATCCTAGCGGGAGGCACTGTGCACCTCTGGGTGTATTTGAACACATCAGCACTGCAGGCTCTGCAGAGAGAGCACATTTTTCACATCAGATAAAGGACCACTTTGCCTTTTGAGCACGGAAGGAAGTCCAGGGGGATCTTTACTGAGCCACAATAGAAGATAAGTGGGAGCGTGTGTGGTGGTAAGTGTCGAACAATATGAGAAACAGCACAGATTTTTCATCTTCTCAAAGTGCAGTGCCATTTCCTTTGCTTGTTTCACCTGTCTTGATTCTCATAAAGTCCAAAATGAATTTCTGTGCTTGTGGCGTGTGCACAAAGTGACGTGTTGACAGGTGTGAGGTGTGTTTCCTTCTGCTTGAACTAGACTCGTAGCTCTATTTCGTCCCTGTCTGTTCCAGCAAACGGCGGAGCATCGTGGGCCGACGCGTGACCCGGCGCAAGCGAGCGGAGGAGGTCATGCACCTGGCCGTGGTGGCCTGTGGGAACCGGCTGGACGAGACGCTCACCATGGTCAAATCAGCCCTGCTGTTCAGCCTCAAGAGGATCACGTTCCACATTTTTGCCGAGGACCCGTTGGCCCCGCAGTTTGAAGAGAGAGTGAGCACCTCCCTTTGTGGTTTCTATGCACACTTCTTTAGTGTCCTCTGAGATATTCCAGCGCATGTTAAACACCTGCTCTCTCTTTGTCACCGACGATATCAAGATCAGAGCAGTTTCAACCCGGACTCCTTCTCGTACAGACATTTACCCCTTTATCTCGAGGCCGGCGAGTCGTATATCACCAGACACCCTTTTTCTCCAGCAGCAGGCATCACTACAAAGTCACCTTCACAGGGGGGTTTTGATGAGCTCCACTGATATGGTGACTCGCAGTCTATTAACGCCTTTTAATGGTACTTACACCGCGCCTACGCCACCTTTAACAGCTTTTGAACACAAACCTCAAACCTGTGTGTAGCGGAGGAATGTGTTTAACAAAGAATCCCTTGTGGGAGACGGGGGAGTGTTGCACATGATCAGCAGGGGGCTTATGTCTGGCGGTGTAAAGCGGAATGCTGACGGGTTTGTCCGTAATCTTCTTTTGAAGCTTCTACGACGCACCGCGGCGTTTATTAAGAGTCACTCGTCGGGGCGCCATGACACGTGTCTTCACCACGTCAAGTGACCGGACTTTCACGAGACGTTTTTCATGTCAATGAGTGTGTGAGAGATTAGCTTTGAGGATAACGGCCGTTTCTGAGACGCAGTTTTCCACTTTTTAAAGAGGTCCTCTTTGTGAAATGTCTCTTTACTTGCAGCTGAAGCTGTGGCCCCCGTCTGTCTCCGCCAAGTTCCAGTACAGGATCTACCCCATCACCTTCTCTGTGGGGGACGCCGACGAGTGGAAGAAGCTCTTCAAGCCGTGTGCTGCTCAGAGACTCTTCCTCCCCGTAACCCACCGCACTTATCTCCTCCCCGTGCATGAACACACGTTAAGAACAAATGCCACCAATCCATTTCATTCAACAGAATCCCCCCCCCCCCGCTTTACTTCATCCCTGTGCAGCTATAGGTCATTCATCACTACGATTATTGACAATTTCACACCTTTTCTTTTAACAATTGGTCTCCAGAGGCTGAGTGCAGGGATTCCATCCAGTGAGGGGCATTGATTTGCTTTTCTGCTGGTGTGTCTATTGGAATAACTTAATAAGCTTACTTATCGTGTAATGAAGAGATGGCAGCTCAGGCGGATCCAGAGGCGATTCCTCCGGCTGCCAGGCAGTCAATGGACATTCACTATGGGCCTCATCCGGAATAACTTTTGAGAACTATTGGTGCACTCTGTAATGAACTATCTATCCTTATACTTTATACTGGGAAGTCACTTTGACTATATGATTATTATCTATATTTCTCAGCTCTGAGTTGACGGCACAGTTCATCCGTGGAGACGGGGAGTAATTGTGTCACTCATCGTTCTCAGCGGACAGCTGTAGTTCGCATTTTCTTCCTTCTTCCACTGCAGCACACAACTTTGATCACGCCATCATTATTATTACGTCTAAAGTACTAGGTGGTCCACCCTACCTGAAAGGGTTAATGCTGAACTACTATGGAGTAAAACGAGGCTGTCGAAACGGCTCAGTTTGATAAAAGAAATGACAAAATCGATGAGAGGACCCAGCTCAGTGTTGCCAAAGCCTTTCCAATGGACGCGGCCAGCAGCAGTTGCTCCATAAGTCCCTAAATCTTCAAGAAAAAGTCACCAGGTTGGCAGTTTTATTAAAAAACTGAAGCCCCTGGGTTTGTTTCATGTTGAATCCCCCCACACTCAGACATCTGAACTGGACCTCTGGATGCTTGCTGCATACTTTGTAGTTTCGTCGTGGGAGAATACTGATATATTTTCATTTGCGATGGTCTCTGGTAGTTCCCCTTCTAGTTCTTTTGGATCCCAATGATAAACGTGAGCGTGTCCCACCAGGTAATCCTGAAAGACGTGGACTCGCTGCTCTACGTAGACACTGACGTGCTGTTCCTGCGGCCCATGGACGACGTCTGGAGCCTCCTGAAGACCTTCAACGGCACCCAGCTGGCAGCGATGGCCCCGGAGCACGAGGTCCCAAAGATCGGCTGGTACAGCCGCTTTGCTCGCCACCCCTTCTATGGGGTCACGGGGGTCAACTCCGGCGTCATGCTGATGAATCTGACGAGGATCCGCAGCACAATGTTCAAAGTGAGCTTTAAAAAGGGGATGGGGCGGTTTCCTTTGAGCTCACGTCACGGTGCTCCGAGCGGGCCTTCTGCCCTCAGCAGCTCTTAGTACTGCCAGCACGTTGCAAACTGGAGCATGTAAATGTGCTTCTCCTTTGATGATGTGTTTTCTGCAAGGAAAAAAATAAGATTCCCCGGAGCTGTTTGTGAGTGAATGTTGTTGGTATTTCAGAACAGCATGATCCCCAGTGGCCTCTCATGGGAAGATATTCTGCATCCACTCTACCAGAAATACAAGAACCACATCACCTGGGGAGACCAGGACCTTCTCAACATTATCTTCCACTACAACCCAGGTGAGGATCTTTTCAGCTGCATATCCACGTTGCCTGCAATGATCATGAAATTATCAGATTAAAAACACATCACACGTCCAAAGAGGCTTCAAAGGCCCTGTGGTGGAAAATATGTATATTTTTTGCAGATCCCGCTAGTGAGTCTACAAAACGCTGAGATGAAAACGCATCCATGTCGCAGAGTAGAACTTTGCAAAGACGGCTCAATGGTCATACACAAAGTCTGCGTCTGACCTCTGCTACACAAAACACTTTCCAAGGTCAGCATAGTAAGATGGACAAAGACATCCACTGAAAGAGTCCAACATCGGGAGTCACGTTGGTGAAACGGTCTCTGCTACCAACGTGTTGCTAGTGGAAACAAAGCAGACATTCTTAACGCTCTCACTTCGACCATCAAAGAGAGCTGCGGCATCCTGCTGTGGGAATTGAGTTCAAGTAGGTTAAAGCAACAAACAACAAGAATACCAATAATATTCTAATACTAACAGTGTACATTTTTCCTTCACCACCACGTCAAACTGGGTAACTGCGTATTCGGACTTGAACGCATCGGTTCCGACCTGGGTTTTATTTGACGCTGGTGAACCCACCTCCATCCTGAACGTGGTTTAGTCACAAACAAAGGCGGCTGTGGCTTCAGGCAGTGGCAGACTTGAGCTCCAGCTGCATCGCCCAGATGTGGCCGTCTCAGAGCCCAGTTCAGCTGCTGGCGCCAGTGTTCGCTTGGAAACCCTTTTCTGAAGTTTGAGGACGGGTTCGATATTAGTGTAGCAGACAAGTCATCCACCTGCATGCGTTGGCTGAATCCGGGTTATTCACACAGGACACGAGTGTTTCTGTTCTTCCCCAGAGTGTCTCTTCATCTTTCCATGCCAGTGGAACTACCGGCCGGATCATTGCATGTACGGCAGCAACTGTAAAGGGGCAGAGGAGGAGGGCGTGTCCATTCTCCATGGCAACCGCGGCGTGTACCACGACGACAAGCAGCCAGCGTTCAAAGTGGTCTACGATGCAATACATGATGTGAGTCACATTCCCCTTGTACTCTGACTCTGTGGTGAGCATGTCTGGGGTCTGTGGGGGGAGAGAACCCACGCTCACACGGGGGAGAACATACCACCAGTCTGCCACCATTCTGCCACCCTGTCACGTGCACCGTCCCCATTTCCTCAGGCCTGAACGTTAACTTGATTTATACAAACGCATGTAGCATAGCTCCCCCGTTTCACAGGAAACCAGGTGTAACTAATGGACTTTTCTTAATAAATACGAAACGTGTTGCACGGTTTGGTTAATGCCCTCTGCTGAGAAAGAGAAGCTTTGAGTATTCTCGCTGTGACACAGATTCTCTCTTGCTCGCATGAAACAATTTGGGTCATTTCTTTTGTTGTTGATATATTTAGAATTTGTCCTCTCCGGCTGCAGAGTCAGTTCCCCTCCCGGCTGCGCAGAGATAAGCCTCTTAAAGACGAGCCGGGTCGTAATTTATGATTAACAGAGAACAGGACTTGCCCCACCCCCCCACGGTTGGAACTACTTAACACCATTTAGCTCATGATACGTTCCATTTAAAAGACCATCAACCTGAAATGCCACTGGGATCCCAACTGACACGCGACCATGATTCTGTTCCTGCAGTTTCCCTTCGAAGACAACATGTTCCAGTCGCTGTTCTACCCGATCCAGACCAAGTTCCTGGACACGGTGAACACCCTGTGTGGTCGCATCCCTCAGGTCTTCCTCAAGCAGATAGAGAAGACCATGAGGAAGGTGTTCGAGGACAGAGTGGTGCGGCACGTCAGGCCGCACTAATAAAGCGATGGAGGCGTGGACGCCCTGGTCTTGGGCCGCCTGTCACGGCGAACTGGGGGCTCCGTGTTTGCTGTGCAGTCGACACGTACTACTTCCTGGATTTGGTCTGGTGAACCTCTGTGTGGGTGAAAAGTACACAGAAGCATCCGGTGCTGGTCAGTGATGCCGTAGAATAGGTTTGCCTTATTGTCGTCTTCAAACTTTCACATCAGTTTTATAACGTATGAACATTGGAAAAAAACTAGTACTGCAAAAATGATAATAATACATTTCTATGACTAATTATGACCGTATGATATTTGCATCTCAAGTGCGGGCTGAAAGTAAAAATTAAGGCAAATTTGCCTCAACTGAGACAAAAGCACCTGAGGTTTTTATTTCCCCCGTGAACACGAGCAACAAAGTCCATTTTGAAGAGCTGTGCTACTCAAAGTGGTAGATCTGCAAACCGCTGCCCTACAATCATGTGAATGTTTAACCAGCAAATAACTTGAATGGTGAGCTTGGCGTGAATGAGAAGAGTTGTCAAAATGCCACTGTCAGTATTAAATACAGCCCAACCGAGAGAAAGACGAATGTTAAAATGCACTTTCTGAATGATTTGAGACTGGATGGTTGTTTGTACGCAACATGTGAGATGCTACACTGTCCGAGGGAATCTAAACCAAAAGTGCTAGCTTTTTAAATACACCGTGGAAATACCAGAGCTGAGTGTGTGCCATAGTCATGTCTACTATTACAGAAAAATGAGTGTGTGTGTTTTCAGGGTGCATCTTGGTTTTCAATGTGTGTTTATGGTCCGATGTGAACACGCGGGTCACATGTTTTTGCAGCATTACTTTCAATGTGGTGTAATGATCTAAATATGTCATTCCAACCGGAAACTGGACTTTGCTGCATCATCAAAATGTGTTTCTAAATAAATCAATGCAATGTGCTGAGTCTCATCTATGGTTCTCTCAGGTGAATTATGCAAAAGGTTTTGTCCTAACACGACTTGATATGTTCGTTATGATGCTGAACTCACCACTGTGTGTTCCACCAACAGCTGACAGCAGTGGTGAAGCATATTTAAATGTCAGCAGCAGGATGGAGGTGAGAAGCAACTGACAAAAATAATTTAACAAAAAAAAAAGCCTGGATCAATTGTCAACTTGGTATTGAAGATCGGTCGGCCTCTGTAAAAGTTACGTCTGTAGAAGTTTATATGAACTGTAACAATCAATTATTGGATATGTATGCGCATGCATATCCTGATGTGTAGAATATACAGCGCAGCCGGGTTTAATCTTTTATCTTTAGACAATCCATTCCTTCATGCTGATTTTACACACAATAAATTATTAATAATAAAATGATCTGGATATGTAATCTGAATTAGTTTTGTCACTGTGGCTTCATGTCAAACGCTAATAAGTGGATGTTGTGGAAATACGTGAGGCCTTAACTGCAACACTCGTATTGTACTTGTGGTGAGTCACTTTGTGAGGTGAGGAATAAATGATGTGGAGCAGTGGTCTGTTTTTAAACCTTCAGGTAGAACAAGTGTCCTCATCCAAGACTCCTACTGGCCCATCAGCCCGCGGCTGGTCCTGCGTCCCAGGACGGCTCTTCACCTCGCCGCGACCTCGGCCTGGAGGAGGCCGAGGATTCCACCAAAACCCGGACTATTTCAGCAACATACCAGATTATTAGCACATAATCACCTAAGCCTAAAATGCAACAAAACCTTCCGTCCAAAGACATAAACGTATGTGCGGATGAAGTCCCGCACACTGTCCATCATGCTGCCCTGCTGCCAGCACTCTGAGCCAAGCTCCTGTGTGTCAGCCAGATGGCCACGTTTGCAGAACCAGCAATAAGTTCATCAATGTGTGTACAGACGTCTCGATAACAGATAACAGAAAAAAACACAAGAAAAAGACCCTGCAACAAAACCAGCTCCTTCAAACGCTTCGTGGAAACCACTACTTCATCTCTGCCAAAGAGCGCCGGTTCAGAACCGTGACACAGATTTGGTAGAATGTTTTTCCCTGCAGCCTGAATCTTTCATTTCCTTTAATTGATATCTGTCAAAGAACTTTACTGACATCCATCCTACTCGCTCTGTTTGTATCAGGAAAACACAATGTTGAATGTGACAATATTAGAATCAGTCAAGGAAATCAAAGATATAGTAAAATGTGTTTTCAAAATTCAACGGAACTGTAAAGTTTGTACTAGTACCTCAGTGTAAGTACACAGACCCATTGCATCCATATATATAACTAAAATTTTTTTTTATTTTTTAAATTGTAGTCATATTTCATTCGACTATCATACCTGTCAACAAGCGCATATGTTTATTGTTATTGTGTTTGTACATGTTTTGCAGGTTGCCGTTGCAGCGGCTTGTGTGTGGCGAACAGGCAGTGACCTCACGGCGCCATATTAAAATGCTCCCTCCTCTTTGCCTGTGCGCTCTTAGCTTAGTTAGCAGCAGCTAAACGCCAGTCTGCTTCTTACGTCCGCTACACTGACAGAGAGCAACGGCGTGATGGAAATTGACTCGCTTCAAGAGGCGCTCCGAGGTCACTTCTATTTATTTCGATAGATGCGGTGTTTCTTCAGACGGCGCGTCGTGCGCGGGCCTCCAGATTTACTTTATTATGAAACGCAAACGAATTCTAGCTAACTGGCTAATGTCGCCTGCTAGCTGCTACTCATGACTAGCTAACGCTAACCGTGCGAGCGCTTTCACGGAAATGGTTCAATTCATTCGCCTGCGAGGAAAGATATCTAACACATGATGCGTCTCTTTGTCCGTACTCTCGAACGTATATTTATTTGCTTCCGATAATCGTATTTAATTCGCCGACGGTCATTATTGACTGAGATGAAATAACCGGCCGGTGTCACCGTTTGCCGGCTACGCTTTTGCAGCTAACTTCACATGCTAGCCCGTTGCGCTAAACTCGAGCTAGCTGTCGCTAGCCTGGGACCTAGCTTAGCTCGATAGGTGGCTTTCGCTAGCCGTTACGTTATGTAAATAGCTGACGTTTAATGCCCCCGGGTATCGATATCGCCGGAGACCCGTTAAACAAGCTTACCGTCGTCTGCTTAATGCAGCTAGCAAAGACAAGCGAGCTTCACAGCGGTGTTTCACAACTGGAGGTTAAATGAAACCCTGTCCTCTGTTCGGGCTTGTGCACGACGTAATGTCGGTGTGTGTTTGTTTTCTCTTAGATTTTGATAAGAAGGCAAAGTCGGAGTCATGTCCTCTTCTGGAACAGTTTCTATGTCACATTGCCAAGACTGGAGAGACCCTGTAAGTAGACCCAGTAGACCCTCCTTACGAACCTTACTCCAACGTGTGTTCTTAACCATTGCCACTGTGCGCTGCAGCAGAAATGACTAACTTTGCAGAACACGTTTGTTTCTTAGTTTGTTGCGTGTTGTTGGTCTTGTTGCCTCTACTGGCCTGTGTGACATGCAACCATTGCGTGCTTTGTTCCCTTTTCCTCCCCATTTCCCCTCTTTTTATAATAAAGCGTTAATCCTTGTTCCGCTTTCCATTTTCCCTCCAGGGTTCAATGGTCTCAGTTTAAGAACTACTTCCTGTTTAAATTGGAGACGGTGATGGATGACTTCAGCGCATCAGCACCTGAGCAAAGAGGTCCTGCGAATCCCAACGTGGAATCCATTCCGTTTGAAGACATGAAGGAGAGAATCCTGAAGATTGTGAAGGGTTACAATGGGTAGGTGACCAGCTGAAATGGCACACGTTTGTCAAAATGTCACGTTTGTGGAAGCCCGATATAACTTGACAGGTTCCCTGTGTAACTCAGGCAGTGGACAGGTGTCATCTAGGCTAGCGCACCTAATTTGCTTCTCATTTATATATGTACTCTACAACGTAATTACCCCATAGTGGCTTTACTGCTCGACTCGTCTGTTTCAGTTTGGTGACCTTTCAGCAAGATGTGTTGTCTTTAAGTGGAAAAGGTGAACGAGTGCGTGGGAGCGATTCTAAAGATCTGCATTAAAATGATTCATTTCTAGCATGGACTGATATTTACTGAAAAAATATCCGCCGGCGTTGATTGATTGTTTCTGATGACGGGTGGAGGTTTTATCTCTATTGCGTGAGGGGAGCTATGTGGAGGTTTTTAATGAGGCTGTTTCAGACCAAATGCCTCGATCATTATGTGTTGTTATTGTTGTGTTCACTATTGACATGGCTGGTTTTATGAAACTTTGAGGTTTCTGATTTAATATTCGACAGTGGTTTGATATACTGAGTGCGAAGCTTCTTGATATTTCAGGATCCTTAACGGGGTTACATTCATTTTTTCTGTTTAAAGTATGAAATCCAAAGTGATAACTTCATCAAAAGGAGCTGAGTCAACCTAAACTTGCCCTTCAAGAAGTTTGATATTTCATTGATTTGTATTGAGTTATTCTTCAAAAAAATTTAATTTTTTTTGACATTTTATTGACCAACTCAGGTGAATAATCGTGAGACTAATTTATTATGAAAGTTGGACCTAATTGAGTGATCTGTTTAATGTATGTAAATGATCCTGTGACTGTCAGCTGTTCTACAGTAATACTGATATAATTTCCACTTTCTAGTGGTGGTGATGGTTTTCAACACATTCAATATATATTATCTCCTTTTTTTTCATGTTAGAATTCCATTTACGATCCAGCGTTTGTGCGAGCTGCTTACGGAACCGAAGAGGAACTACACAGGAACAGATAAGTTTCTTCGGGGGGTTGAGAAGGTATGTCTAATCATCGTGGCCGTTTATCCTTTTTCTCCTCCAAGTTTGTAACTGTTCTCACTCATTTGGTAAATCCTTGTTTCCGTCCAGAATGTAATGGTGGTGAGCTGTGTGCACCCGACCTCAGAGTAAGTGTCTTGTCCGAATAAAACGCCTTTTATTAGAATAAACTAACTGAATACAATGTTTTGGGAATCATGTTTTGACGTTTCTTTTTTTTGTAACTTGCTCGTGCAGAAAAAATGGATGCAGCGCTGTCAACAGAATGAACGGAGTGATGCTTCCTGGGAACACGTCTGCTTTTACAGAGAGGTTGTGTTGGGGACGGATCTGCTCCTTGCTCCTAAAACACACAGACAATGATGTTGTTCATTGATTGTTTAGATGTTGTTTTTTCATTGTGCTTTCTCACGTTCGGCTGTGGTTTTCTTAGGAAAGTGAACGGCCCTGGAACTCCTCGGCCCCTGAACCGACCAAAGTTGTCTCTGGCCAACTCACTAGCGGCCAACGGCCTGCCGGACAGCACAGACGACAAAGACCTCCTCACAGAACAACAAGAAGATGACGACAAAGACTCCAGGTATGCCGGAGACAACCCTGTTCTCCCGTTAAAGGAGACCTACCGCTCATTTTAAGACTCCTACTTGTTTCCACCATAACGCGTTCACATTCCTCATATTGTCTGTATGAATATTGACGTTCACTCGTATTACTGTCTTTGAAGTTTCTTTAGTAATAATTCTAGGCATCGTAAAAAAAAGCTAGTTTATTTCCCCAGCGTTTGGAGGTTGGTGAACATGCCAGACACCTTAACGGGCAGAAGACTTATCAAAGTGGAATTTTCACAATATGTCCCCTTTAACGAAAACCCACTGGGATCAACTTGATAGACTTCCTGCTTCTGTTCCCCAGTGAGGTTTCAGCGTCAGGAGGCTCGCTGAAGAACAAACACCAAGAAGACAAGGAGGAGGACATGGAAGCTGAGCAGCAGGAGGTGAAGAGACTCAAGTTCAGCAAGAACGAGGAGGAAGAGGGTGACGACGACGACGAGGATGATGAAGAACATGAGGCGGACATGCTGAGGCCTTTGCACGCCAGCTGCCTCTCTAAAGAGGCAGAAGCCATGGTCCAGGAGGACGACGAGGAGGAGAAGAAGGCCGGGTACGGCAGGGACAATGAAGCCTCCAGCGGTGCTGCTGCCGCTGAGGACCAAGGTGGGTGTCTCTCTCTCTTACGTGCCCTGTGTGTCAATGGGTTTGTTTGTGATGGGGGTTTGGGGGGGTTATGGTATGGGCTGTTCATGCACACTTTCTTAAGAAAAGCTGAGTTCACTCAGGTAGATAATTGAAAACTGCTCAATACCTCCTGCTTCATTTGGCTGCACATTTATACTCTGTTACCTTTTTAAAAACTGCAGCCAACGAAATGATCGATGAAGTTGAACAAAAACTAAATGTAACCTTTTCAAAATGCAGGACTGTTTGATTTTGCACCTTCTAAGAATATTAAGACGGTGTGACGCTTCATTACCTGTTGAGCTGAATATCTTTTGGTATTATTTAAATGATTAATGCCCTTTTTAATGTTGAATCCTTGCTGCCTGTGGACATTTAGACTCCTTCGCTATGTTCTTATTCATCAATATCATTTTGTTGAGCCTTTGGTTGGTTTTACATTAGCAGCTCATTAAGCAGCTCATTAATCTACTTGAACCGAAATACTAAAACATGATCTACTCTGTTGCCACAGAACCAACGAGCAGCACGCAGGTGGAGGCGTGTGCGAGTTCCAGTCCGGAGGCTGAGCAGGCCGAGAGAGAGGTGCCATGCGGCTCCCAGGAGGAGGGCAGTGACATGGATCAGACGGAGCAGCAGGCGCCTGCAGGCGTCCTGCAGAGCCCCGAGACCAGCAGAGACAGCGAGGAGAGCAACAGTGACCCCGTCAGCAGCAGCAGCAGCAGCAGCAGCACTAGTAGCGGCGGCGGCGGCGGCAGCAGCAGCAGCGGTAGCAGCAGCTGTAGCATAGAGGAGAGCGCAGAAGCAACCAGAGAAGACGTGGCTCTCGCTCCCTCAAGCAGTACATCTGAACCTCCTACAGAGGGCGCCATGGAAAGTGCCACCTTGAACACTGGGACCACCGAGGAGCCCATGGAGCAGGACTAGACTGAAGGCCCGCCCTCCCTGCCTCTCTCTCTGCAGCCATGCGTGACCATGAACCAGCTTGACCATGAATCCAGCTTGACTGTAACTGGGAATGAGGACAACTATACCTCATACACAGGACGGACGCCTCGTCCCACTTTGGACGCTCCTCCAAAAATGGCTCCCCGGCATTGATGTGGGCATACAAATAAATTTTCATTTGAAGTTTTTCTTTCTTTTAAACTGGAATATTTTACTGGTCTTCTTATCCTCTGTTTTAAAGTTTCACTTGGTTGGTTTCAATAGTTTCTTGGATGGATTTGACATCTTTGTTCAATGTATTCGTTGGGATGCTCGGCCGGTTCTTTTCTTCTGCCGCCAACACCGACAATTTGGACATTGTGAGAAGTCAACGCTTTGTTCCCCTTGTGCCCAGTGCGACACTGCCTGGGTCAGAACAGAACCACGCCCGCCCCAGATTATTCATGAAATGGATAAAGATGGGAGCTACCGCCATTTCTGTTCCTAGCAACACCACCAACTATATAATTACTCCACCAAGTTCCACCAGGCTGAGAAAATGTGTTGTTTTAAATTTGATTTCTCTCTTCATGAGAGGGGAGACTTTTTTTATGTTTCCATTGTGTCCTTATATCATTTTAACCACATTTTGTTTGCGATGATACACTACCAATCCCACTAACAATACAATGACCTGCTACCTTGTTGAGGCGTCTTCTGTAGAATGATGCATAAAAACCACCATAATTTATATGATCATTTCGATTCAATTGGTTCTTTTTTTTGGTTCTGTCTACCAGTTGTAATTTACAAAACCAGCTGTAAGTACAAAGATGACTTCTGCTTTCTTTGTATTGTGATGTCACATGTTGTTTCACCGACGGATACACGGAGCCGTCTCTGGTTCCACTTCTACACCTGTTTCTGCAGCTGTACTTTTTGATATTTAGAATTTTAAATTTCTGTAAAGTAGATTTTTGTAGATTGTAATACAGTATGTGTTCACTGCCTTTGTGAAACCATATATAATTGTATAATTTCTGTGTCTACTCTGAATGCTTTTGCTTTCAGTGCGGTATTCAGAAACGGCAATAAATGTTGACATTTTTATGCGCGGTGGTCTTCCTTACTTCCCCCCCGGTCTCGGCCTAGTTGACACTAAACGCCCCCCCTGGAATAGGACCTGAGTTGTTGGCTCCATCACTGGGACACGTGTCTCAACGCTGTACTAGTTCACCTTTTTGACGAGAGCAACACAAACCTTTGCTGCATACTGATGGTGTGTGATCACACCTGCTATTAATACACAAACATGTTGCAAACATGTTGCTGCCAATTAGCAAAAGCAAAGCTCTGAGCGTAAAGTGTAATACATCGTTTTCTGAGAGCTTTATCAAGCCGTCTCAAAGGAAAAAAGGCTGAGTGTCTTTGAACATCTCACCAATCGGAGGGCAAAAGAGCGTGATTTATGAAGGAGGATGGTAACCGTGAACGAGCTGAACAACACCCGACGTGATTGGCAAGCGGCCTCTGGAGAGGCCTCGCCATCTGCTACGGGTCTCTGGTCTTAATTTATTCGTCCCTCTGTATATGCTGATTAAGTCCCCATATCTGCTTCCCCTGCTGTCTCTTTGACTGCTGAAATTTGCCCACGACCCCCAGAGGAAATAAAAAGTGGCCTGAATTAATCCGCAGCGCGCCGCTTTGAAGGCTCGTCTCTGGGGAAACAAATACCAGGTCAGAGGGATCGGGATATTAAAAACGTCTCCAATGACTTTAAATAAGACGACAGCTTTATGATTGACAGCGCGGGACCGAGGGCTCATGCACGCCAAAAAAGGGCCATTTGACTCTGTCCCACTGTGTCCTAGTTACTCACTTTACCCCCCCGAGAAGCAAGAAAATCCCCAGTGGAGGGCGTGTTAAAGAAAGTGCAGCGCCATTGGTTTTATTTGCACTTTATTTCAATGTAAATTGTCTGTTAGTATCATTTAAACAGCTGCAGTGAGCAGAGAAGCCCTCGATCAAACCCTCCCCCCTCAGTGGAGGCCCCGCGTGGGCCCCTGGGGGCCTCGGTAAAAAAAAAAGGTCTAGTGTGGTGAATTTGAGTGTCGTGCTTGACCTCCTTCCACAGGAGAATGGCGTTTAGATGGATCTTCAGCCTCGGACACACAGGGAGTCTTCAGTCGTCACAACACCGTAGTTTCGTCGGTCCGGCGTTATTTTTTTAGCGGACCGAAGAGGATCGCAAAGCGCCGCGTCCTCTCAGATTGGGGCGATCTCCGGGTCATCCAATAGAGGGCGCTGTTTGGTTTCCGAGCCACACCAAACAGGCCTTGCCTGACCTCTGAAACCAGAACGCACGCCGTGTCCTCCTCCTGCTTCTGGATGCCCTCCACAGGAGGCCTCCAGACGGCCTTCACAGGCAAAGTGCAGTGAGAAATACTAGAAACCAGGTAGATTCAGTCGCTCCAGCGGCTTGGTCCTCAGGGGGCTGCTGTCAGAGCGGCGTCACCGCGCACACAGAGAAAGAGAAAGTGCGAGTGGGAGACTGCTTTGATTTAGTCGGTGTATTTGTGTCGATGGCGCTCAGCGTCCTCCATCACATCGCCTTCAAGTCCCGTCAAAAAGTTCTAAAGGACAAAAAAAAACCACGCGATGCACAAAGTGTGCTGTAGAATCCCGGCTGCCAGCGCGGCTGGAGAATTGACGGCAGTGTAAAAAAACAAATGTGTCAAACACGATCAAAGAACGCTTCATTTCTCTGTGTTTTCTTTGTTTTTTCCGATACTGAAGCAGTGAATAAATGACTAAGTATCTCTGTAAATTAACAAACATCACTAGTATTCCTGTGGTTACGGCCTTTTTGCCGTTCCCTGCACCCTAATGAAGTACACTGATTGACCTTCCTCCGCACAGGGCCCGTCTGCCCCCCCACCCGGCCTAATGGCACTGAAGGGTCTTGTTGATAACAGCCTCATGCTTTTAGAGGCCATTTGCACAGATGAAGCTGCTCTTTGCGCCGGGTTGTAAAATGTGTGAATGGGAGACTAATAAAGGTGCAATTACAGCCGTCGAGTGTGTGCGCGTCGACGGCGCTGCTGCCGGCTGGCGTGCGAGCGTCCTGCAGCCCGAGGAGGCGGCTGCGCTCGGTGATGGTGATGATGATAATGGCTCGTTTGGCCACGCCGCGGGTCTCTGTCTGAGCCGCTGCCATCCGTCCAAGCAGACGCAGACGTGTTGTCTGTGCTCCACGCGTGTCTGACAGTAGACGAATAAGAACGTGACTCTTTACGCGTCATGCTATTATTTATTGAGCTCCTCAAAAGCAGCCAAACAGAAATGGACTTTTTGGTAGACTCTCTATTGATTTGACGTTCAGCTGAAGGAAGAGTCTAAACGTCGCCTGTGGGAACGCGCCATGTTGGCATTTACGGATATTTAGATATTTGGGGTACTGCACTGAACATGCTTTATATGCACAGTGTATATTGGGATACTAAATAGTGAGGTAGTGTGGTTATTGGAAAAACGCTAAAAGTCTATTGGCCCAAAGGTTGCAAACAATATGTTGAAATGGAACCAACAACATGCTGTTCAGTAGTTTCCTGTTCCCATACACACCAGCTACAACTACAAAGCCCTGAAGAATACAGACACAGAAGAACATTATGAGTACAATCCTTGGTTGCTTGACAACCTTTGGTAAGATATCGTATGAACCGTTGTACGACGATAAGTTGAGTTACGGGATGTAACCTTTTCTTGGTAGCCATCGCTAATCAGCTAAACACCTTCTGGCTCTGCCTTCACTCACAGTATCAAAATTGATGCGATTGGAAGCAATGGATCCAATGCTGCGTCTCAGCAAAGTCTGGATGCTGTTATCTTGTGCTGAAAGCTCACCTGGAGTTTCATGGAATCCATGCAGTGGAGGTCTCACAACTTGGGGACTGTAACTCATTTTATGGCAATCTGCTTGTTCCATCTGAATGGTTTGGGACGGGCCTTTTGCTACATCTGCTACCACAGGATGTGCAGATCACCAATGAAGATACATGGTTTGACAGGGAAAATGCCCATGAGCAACAAGGGATAATGGTCTGTATCTTGCATGTGTCATACGGCCTCAATGATGTAACATCGACATCCCGTGTGTGCGTTCTACCAAGAGCTCACTCCTCACACGGTGAGCGGCGAGAACCTCTGTTGGGTCATTTGGTTGCTTGGACATGTTTTTAATCATAGAACATCATCTGCGTTCATTCCCCAATCTGCTCATTTCTCGGTGGCTGTGATTTTAGATTCCTGCAGTCAGCCTGTTGTGACAGTTCTGCTCTTAACACGTAATGCCGTTGGTGTTATGAAGCGCAAAACTATGCAGAGTCTGTGAGAAGGCGAGCGGCGACTCTCTCTGCCGGCTGTGAGGTAAATCATTTGGATCCGGTGGGAAATGTGGTGGTAAAGAAGAATGACAGCACGTCTTTCGCTTTCTTTTTGTTTTGTTCATTCTGCTGACTGACGCCTACAATTGGGAATACTGGATAAATTAGCTGCCAGCCAATAAATCTGCAGAGCGGCGGGACACAGAGGAACCCGCGGTGTGAGAATGGCTGAGCGGAGAGGGACGAGCCGTGGGAGGACGGACCGCCGTGAGTTACGGCTCCACGGGGCCATAAAAACACAAGCAACAGGGCCTTTGAAGCCAACGGGACAACGCGAGGGTCAAATACGGAGTTGGAGACATTTACGGAGCATTCAAAGGGTCGGCTTGTATTCTACGTTTGTGAGGTGGAAAATATTCAAGACTCTTAAAAGGTCCACTTGAAGAAATGGAATTTGCATACTGTGGTTTGCAGGATTTCCAATACAATTTGTCACATGAAAGCATCACAAAGTGAAATTAGGAGTCTGGAACCCTAACCCAGTTCAGAGTCTGCAGTTAAAAAAAAATGCATCCTTCACTTTTCGTCTTGTCACAGCGACCTCATCATTTAACTGCAGGGTTTTTAGAGGAATACGCTCATTACTGCCCGCCGGCAAAATATGAAATGTGTCATTTCTCAGCCGGCCACTGTATTGTATTCTATGTGTATTATGCAGCAACTAAAGTTAAAATGATGCTAATCACTGCTCTAGATTATCCTTAGAGAACTTTCTCTGGGTGTCATTTATATTTATATAATGTTCATGGAATGAACACGAATCAATATCATCCAAATGATCATGTGATCCATATTTCCATATCTCCTGCTTCTCTCCTCGTGATTAATCATCGGCGTTCCGTCACGTAACTGTGATAAATCAGAGCTGCTGGTGGGTTTTATTATTCATTTTATGGATGTGATATTTTCCGTTACCTTTGGAGGTTTGCTCATCCAACCCGGCTGTCGCGTACGATTTCACAGCACAACGTGTTGCTGTGGATTGAAATGATACCGATGAGATCCTGTGAAATACGCATCAATCACTGTACAGTCCACAGCTCACGTAGAAAATGTCATGTGATATTTATTTTTCTCTTCTTTCTGAAGTCTAATTGTGTATTTGGGGATTTTCAGGTACTTTTCTGTACATTACAGTTCAACACAGTATTATTCAAACGAACAGATAATTCTATAATCTCTTTGACGTGCTGGCTGGCGTTCAGCAGGTGAGCGAGCGTGAAAAGGTGGTTCGGCGTGTTTCTCTCTTCATCTGCTCCCTTTAATCAAACACGCTCGCAGCGCTTTATGAAGTCGCTGCTGCAATGTTTTGCCTCAGAGGTCTTTTAGAATTGAGGTCATGCGGAAATCAGACACAAGTGGATTTTTAACCAAGACGTGGCGCGAACGCTCCCCTGAGTGGAGCTCTGTTCCCCCGTACAGGTGAACATGTTTGAGGGATCATGTGTGGGCTTGTCGAGCAGCTACGAGCCCTTCAGGGGATCTCCGGCTCCACAGTGAAACGTTCGGGGGCACCGGGGGGTCTCATTTGAACTGATGAGTCCTGCTTCCAAGCGCCAACAGACGAGCACTCAGGATTTACAGGAATAAACGTATCAAGATCAAATCAAGATTATAAAAATACATGGGGGTGTTGAAGCCAAGCGTGCGAGCGGCTAATCTCCC